CTACTCTATTTGGTAAGCACAGGTGAAAATTAAAAAAAAAAAAAAAAGGATTTACAGGGTTTTTTTTTTTTTCAAATCCAGCTCTTAGGATGACAATGTATACTCACATTTTTTTTGTTTGTCTGTTTTTGGAGAGGTTTTTGCTATAGGGTGCATGCGCTCGCCAGCAAGACAGAGAGAGACAGAGAGACAGAAAGCAAGAAATCACCTCCCGGGGGGATGGCCACGCCACAATCCCTTCTCTTCCACTCTCCTCTCGGGATCTTGGGCATGCACGCACACGCGCCCAGCGTGAGTTTAAGCCACCGGGTCCGGGACTCAAACCGCAGTCGGCTACATGGGAGTTCAGTGACATAGCCATTACGCTAACTGCTGGTCCCTATATACTCCCATTTTACAGATGAGGAAACGCAGGTGGCTCTGCTAACTAGAAAATCTGGACTTTAATTTCTGGGGTTGTCTGTTTTCACTAGGTTTTCGAACTTCAGTATCACTGACACACTTGGTCAATAATTCTTTGTTGTTGGGTACTGTTCTATGCACTGAAATAGGGATGTTTAGTAGTATTCCTAGGTTCTAGCCTCCTAATGCCAGTAGCGACTGCCAGTTACGACAACCCAAAATGTCTCCACATAGTGCCAAATGTACTTGAGGAGAGGGTGGGTGAATCCCACATTGCTGAGAACCACTGGTGGAAACCAGCCTAGCAACTGTTGACTAGAACTACTTCAAACCATGAGAGCGAGAATTACCCTTCCCCCCTTCAGTCAATGTAATTAAAAAAAAAAAAAAAAGGATAAAATTTACAATCATTTCCAAATGTTGAAAGTTGCAAAATTATAATCCTGAAAAAAGAAAGACAAATGAGGTGAGCCCTACCATTCTAGGGCTTCCACTGAAAGGTAATTCCCAGTTTAGAGCACAGAAAGAACCTAACCAGAATTTTCTTTTTTTTTTTAAAGAATTATTTTATTTAATTTTATCATTATCAATATTTTTTACCTTGACCAGAAAGAGACGGGGCGGGGGGTGGGGGGAGCAAACCATCAGTCCGGGACTCAAATCATGGTCACCCATGTGGAAGTCCAGCGCCTCTAACCACCATACCATCTGCTGGCCCGATCTAACCAGAATTTTCACTAACTTGAGGAAACAGACTGGGATTTGAGAGGTCCACATAGGTTAAAATTTGGAAAGCACTTATCTGGCAAAAAGAGATCTATATAGAGCCCAGCTATGCAAATCTAAATAAGGCACCCTTGAATCTTTCCTAAACACTGATCTATGCATGTGTGAGAGGAAACCTCAATGAGACTGGAGAAGAATGATTCCTGAAAAGAGAACAATTACTTGGGAACTCTAAGACAATTTCCAGAACTCACTTAACGACCTCGACTTTTTTGTTTTTGTTTGGCTTTCCTGTAACCAGTGGGGAGACCTTGTTAAATATAAAGAATATTCGGTCAATCCCCAGGAGGGTCACACATTAGAAGTAGAGTAATGCGGGGCCGGCAGGTGGTGTGGCGGTTAAGGTGCCGGATTCCCACATAGCCGGCCGACCATAGTTGGAGTCCCAGACCTGGTGGCTTGCTTTCTTACTCCCACCTTCCATCTCCCCCCACCCCCATCTCTGGTGAGCACATATGCCCTGTAGCAAACTTTAAAATAATAAGTAAAATAAATAATATTTTTTTTTTAAAAAAAGAAGTGCAGCAAAAGAATAGGTAAGGGGGCTCAGAAAAAAGAGTTTAACAGATACAAAAATCCATGTAAACACATAGGTTATGGATCTACAACAGAGTAAAAAAAAAAAAAAAAGAGATGTTGCCAATCTTATATATGTATATCTCAAAAACAAAATAAAAAACTAGTAGAACAAATCAAAGTTATGTAACATAAGGCACTGTTCTTTGTTGAAGATGATGTTTATGGCAGTATCTTTGGTTTGATTATCACATACCACAGGCATACTCTGAAAATCATGGGGCCAGCAGGTGGTGTAGTGGTAAAGGCACTGGACTTCCACATGGCTGACCATGGTTTGAGCCCTGGACCTGGCAGTTTGAAACTCATGCCAGGCACATATTATGTGCATACCCAAAATCCTGAGGAGAATGGAGAAGGGATAGCAGCATGGCCATCCTCTCTGCAGTAGGGGCGGGGGGTGACTTCTCACTTATCCTCTCATTCTCTCTTCTCGCTCTCCAGTGAATGCATGCACCCTATGGCAAAAACCTCTTTTTTTTAAAAAAAAAATTAAGATCATTTTCAATAAGTTCATTGTGTGCCAAAAGAGTTCAATACTCTTTAAAGGAATAAGACAAAATCCAGCACTCAACAGTATCAAACCATAACATCCAACAACCAATCAAAAACTCCAAGAGGCCCAGCCACAGTAGTACAGAGTGGACACTGATCCTTGGGGACTGAGATTGCACAGGAGGTCTAGGTTTGATTCCCTGCCCACCCTAAAAAATGCTACTCATGGTGGCACACCCTTGTAGTTCAGCTACTTGGGAGGCTGGGGCAGAGGGGATAAAAGCTCACAGCCAGCATGGCCAACATAGCTAGATCCTATCTGGAAAAGCAGGGTGTACTGGTGCATGAATGTAATACACACGTAGAAGACATACGATAGAGCAGAAAAATACAGGGACCAGCAGGCGGCATGGTGATTGGGGTTCTGGGCACTTCCACATGGCCGACCACGGTTCGAGTCCCAGACCTGGCAGCTTCCTTTCTCCCTTTCCCTCTCTCTCTCTCTCTCTGTGTTTCTCTCTGGTCAAATTAAAATAAATGAATAAATAAAATTTTTTTTAAAAAAAGGCAGAAAAATACGATCCATAACTATCAATAGGAGAAAAATCGGTCAATGAACTAGATCCAGAAATTACAGATTATAGAGTTTGCAGAAAGACATTAATACTACTGTTGTTAAGTACGTGCCACTGGTTTAATGATAGATATAAAGGAAAATATCAACATAATATCTTCTTAAAACTGAATAGAACTTCTAGAGATGAAAGATATCTGAAATGATACGCCAGAGTAAATGCTACATAAGAAAAGAGAACAAGCCTGAAAGCATAGCAATAGTAGTTATTCAAAATAAAACACAGGCAAGAAAAAATATTGAAAAAAAATTAAATGGTGCATCAGTGACCTACAGGGCACTGCCAATAGTCCAACATGTGTGCAATTGGAATCCCCCGAAAATGAGGTGTAAAATATCTGAAAAAAATAATAAAACAAGGGACCAGCTGATGGAGTAATGATCATGTTGCTGGACTCCCATGTAGTCAACAGCAGTTTGAGTCCCGGACTCGGCGGCTTCAAATTCACACCAGGTTCTTGTGTGTATGCATACCCAAAATCCCAAGAGAAGAATGGAGAAGGGACTGCAGCATGGCCATCCCCTCTAGAAGGTGATTTCTCACTTTCTGCCTCTCTCTCCCTTCAGCTCAACAGTAAAAATCTCTCTAAAATAATAATAATAAAACAAAAAGACAACCAATGTGTGGACCAGCAGGTGGCATGGTGGTTGAGACACTGGACTCTCACATGGCAGTCCAAGTCCCCGGCCTGATGGCTTGCTTTCTCACTTTCTTTTCTCTTTCTCCTTCTCTCTGTCTCTGACTCTCTGTGGTGAATGCGTGTGCCCTATGGCAAATTTAAAAATAATAATAGTCAATAAAATTATATAATTATTTTAAAAAAGAGTAAAGGATGGAAAAATATGCTTAGACGAATGCTAATAAAAAATAAGAAACTAGAGTGGCTTCATTAATAATGAGTAAACTTCAAATTCCAGAGTAAGAAATATCACCAGAAATGAAGGATATTTCATAACACTCAAAGGGGCAGTCTATCAGCTCTCTTCTGTATAGAGAGAAAGAGAGAGAAGCGCTCATTTACTTCTTCCATGGACAAGACAGACAGAGACAGAGAACGTGGGAGCAACCCCAACAGTCTTCAAGATCCTCAAGATCCACCCCCAACTTCAGCCAACTCCAGATCTGGGGCACTAACGTGCAGGTGAACTCCAGGAGGCCTTGGAATGAACCAGAACCTTCCTATGTGATTCAGCCTCACAAAAAAAAAAATGATTTCAGTTTTAATTTCACACTACCCATCTCTCTCTCTCTTTCTTTTTAAAGATTTAATTTTATTTCTTTATTATTATTTTTTAATTTGCCTAGGGCACATGCACTCACCAGAGAGAAACAGAGAGGAAGAGAAAGTGAGTGAGCAAACCACCAGGGCCAGGACTCAAACCACAGTCAGTCATGTGGGAGTCCAGCACCTTAATCACCAGGCCACCTGTTGGCCCCTGTACTATCCACCTTAACAGTTCTAAACATACATGCAGTACTTGACAAAAGAGTTTCAAAATACACATAGTGAGGCCAGCAGGTGGCCTGGTGGTTAAGGTGCTAGACTCCCACATGGCCCACCATAGGTAGTTAAAGCACCAGATCCTGCTGCTTGAAATACAAGTTGGTCACCTGCGTGTGCATGCCCAAAATCCCAGGAGGAGAATGGAGGAGAAGGAATTGCTGGCCTGGCCATTAACCCTGGGAGGCGATTTCTCACCTTCCCTCTTACTGTCTCCCTGTCTCCTTCCAGTGAGCGCTTGCACCCTATGGCAAAAACCTTAAAAAATACAGTAAATCAGATAGAACGAAAGGAGAAAGAGACAAATCGACCGTTATTAATTGAAGACCTGGGAATTCCTATCTTAATTATCTCATGGAACAAGTAAATGAGTTGGAAGACCTGAAAGATGCTACCAACCAATTCAGTCTGACATTTTTACAAACACTCCATCAAACAGAATTCATGTTCGGTACAAAAGGTATACTCGCCAAGACAGACCGTATTCGTGGCCGTAAACATATCTCAAGAAATTTAAAAAGACTGAAAGCACGTAAGGTGTGCTCTCTAGAAAATCGAATTAAACTGTGGTGAGAATGGCCTAAGTCTACTCATGCAAAGAGCTTAGAAAGAGCCTGCTGGGAACGCTGCCTTGACCCTGCGCGGCAGACGGAGGGAGTCCCCTCGAAGCCAGGGAAGGGGAACAACACTTGGACACAGTCCTGGCAACACACTGCGGGGTGAGGACAGGTGGCCTGAGTCCCATGCCCGCTCGGACGCTTAGTGGTCGACTGCCTTCTGGATAGACGCGGCAGTGGTCTTGGCCGCCCGCTGGTGTTCAAGTCCCCGCGATGCCCCACTCCCCTCCGTGGGGACGGCCTACCTGGCAGCCCACCACCTCGGCCAGGTCGGGGTGCACGGGCGGCGGCTGGCGCAGGCAGCACAGGAAGAAGGTGGTGTCGTAGCGGCGGCGGCCGCCGCGCGTGAACGGCGTGAGCCAGGCGCTCCAGTCGTGCAGCGCCCAGATGTCCGGCGTGCAGTCGAGGTGCGCGCACAGGCGCAGGAAGTCGCGCGGGTCGCGGCGGACGCGGGCGCGCCAGGCGTCCAGACCAGGCGGCGGCTCGAGTGTGTCGCCGGGATCGGGCGCGGGCCGCTCGGACACCGAGGCGGCGGGGGAGCGCCCCCGCCGCGGGAGCGGCAC